GACGTGGCCAATCGCATTGGCATCATTTGAGGGGCCTAGTGTGGAGTGCTTGCCGCTTGTGATAAAAAGTTTGGAGGGGCACCCCATCATGCAAACACATTGATCACATAGACCCTAAGCAGGTCCATTGTGCATGTTTAAGCCCATTGACTGTGCGAATGGGCATTCATGGCAACCCAACACAAATGTTGCTGGATGCTCTCCCCACGGCGACACTTGTTGAATCCCAAGGCCACCATTTGCCCACGCGGGAGATGCAGAAGATCCAGAGGCTTGTTTGCCAGGGATGGGCGAGCTGCCTCTAGACTACAGCATAGTCGAAGACACAAATAGATTGACGTCAATGAGCCCTTGGCCGCTGGACTGCGCAAGCAATGTTTGACAGTATCTATGTACTAATGGGTGTTTGTACATGTGGCATGTACGCAGTTGTCCAGGGTGAGCATGCTTGCGAGAGAGAGAGAGAGAGCAGGTGTCGCATCACAGGCTGTGGCAACGACAAAAAATGCTCACCTGAGTGTTGACCAGTGTGGGATTCTTGAATCTTCAAAGCGGACCGGCAACACACGGTTCTTCCATGTGGAGGTTGGTGGCCAAATCGACGCCTCGCTGTTCTGAGGCAATCAAGCCAGTGCAGCTCTTCAACATTTCAGCTGACACACCTTCAAAGCCGGGCAACTTTCATTTTTCGCAGGCATCCCAGACGATCAAGCTTCAAGCACAGCATTTTATCGCAGCTTAGTCTTTTTGGAATCTAGCCATGAAGGATCTTGGAAGTTATTCTTTTCCGGGTGGAGGCTGCTGAACATCTTGCTGCCACTCTAATACCTCCCACCAACAATCCTCAAGCCGCTGGCCTGCTACTGTAATTAACTGTAATTATATTATATAAGGCTTTGGCTTTACCAAATCTATCGGTGACCCGAGGCCCGCGCCTGTCTTGAACAATGATCTGCAATTGCAACTCCAGGGAGCAGCAGAAAGCCTGCAGGAGTATAGAAGCTGACACTCACAATTCTCGCGCTTCTCCTTTGAGTCAAGGATGTCGGGAAGAAACATGAAGCAACAGTTTCGGGCGTTTCATTTTGTTTGTTTCTTCCCAATTCTGAAGCCAATTATATAGACTTCTTGCAGCAGCTTTAGCACAACGAGTGCCATCTGGGAGGACGCTGCTAGGGCTTTACTTCGACTTGGCAAGGTGCAGGCCAGTTTCTCAACGTCCGAGGTTATTGTGTGTTGAATTCAGGCCAGGTTGGGCTGGTCCGAAGAATCTTCAAGCTAGAGCATTTTAGAAGCAAGCCTGCACCGCCTGTGGCAGCCCTCCTGTGAAAAGCCAGGCTTTGGCCCCAGCTGTGCAGCATGCAGGTGACGAAGCATCGCTGACTTTGGCAGGCATTCGGAAGGGATCCAGCCAGGTTGATCAGTCGCAACGTCACGTTCTCAACACAATCCAAGACATCCCCACTGTTAGATCAGATGATATCACGAAAGGTAGCCTGGTAAGGACTACCTTGAGTTTGCTTTGCGAAGCAAAGGGACTGGCTTGAGAGCTTGCTCGGGACTAAAGATTGGTAGATCAATGTCTAACACCCCCACCCCCCCCCCCCCCCCCCTCCCATGTGATGAATGATTGATAAATCAATTGATTCGACCCCCCCCCCTCCCCTCCACTCCCCTCCCCGTCCCCTCCCCTCGTCGCCAGCACTACTAAATTCTGGACATAAGGTGAAGTCATGCGCTTAACAGTCACAGCAGTACGACGCTGGCCATGAGGTTGCGCAATACAGCACGAACCCTGCGCAATGCGGTCGCGCAATGCAGCTTCCATGCCGCGCGTGCGCACCCGGCAGCCTGACACAGCGCGTACTGCGTTCACAGACCAGATTGCTCGACACCAACGAGCATCGATGCAACACAGCCTCTCTGCAAAGCCCTGTGGAGAAACCCCTCGCGTCGCGGAACACCATTCGACTCAGCCTTATACCCTAACGTGGCAAAATTTTACCGCATCGTGGAGCACACCCACCATAGAGTGACGTCCATCCCTGGCAGTACCGGCCGCACCCCTCCAGCACTATCCTTACAAGGGGGTTGGTCACTGAGTCACTGCGGCTTCGACGCAACGCGTGCAGGCCTGTAATCCTGACACAGTGCGTGCAGCTGTGGGACCATAGCTGGTACACATGCGAGCGTTTACGCATTGCGACTTTTACGCACGCCTGTTTTCACACACCTATAGACACAAACGAGCGTCGACGCAACGCAGCCTCTCTGCAGAGCCGTGTGGCGCAATCTGACCGCAACGGTGTTCCTCTTGAGCCTTCTTATGCCTTCTTGTGCTCTCTGGCTTTGTTGGTTTCATCCATGATTGACCAAGGGGCACGTTCCTGAAACACCGGAGACAGTCCCTCACCAGAAAAGGTCCCGACAGCTACTCGGTCCGTCTCTACCTTTCGTGTTTCCCCGCTCAAGTGTAAAAAAGGTGCAGGAAGCAGCCAGCAGCAGCCAGTGTCTCAGTGAATTCATTTGGAAGGCTGGAAATGGCCCCAGCCTTGGGTGATGAACTGTTGATGATGTATCATGGGAGGCGTCCATTTGTATTGTTGGATGTCACTTTTTTTGGTGGCCTTCGCATATTGAAAGAGCACACAGAGGTGCAAGTCCTTTCCGATTCCTGCTTTCCAGGCATAGAGGTGCTATGTATTGACTCAGGTCAGAGGGCGCCCCAGAAGCGTCTTTGGAGGCTTAGATGGTTGGGGCTGGAAGCATAATCGCATTGCTTCAAAACATTCTGGATGTATGTGAGTATGGTGTGGCTGGTATATGTATGTATCCTGATTCCATTGCACAGGACCATTCCAATCAATTTCTCGATTTTTGTGCATGTACTCATCGCATTCTTCAATCTGTACGGCAGCTTGTGTCCAAGCCGCCAGGAGCAGAACAAGGTGTTGCGCACGCAGCTGGCTCAGGCCTCCGGGCCCTTGCACTGCGGCTGACTACATCGTCGCAACCAGTTGGTGCTTTATCACGCAGGGGGGTGGCGGGGTGTCGCACTGTTTTTTCATGTGTTCTCGCGCCGCGGGACTTGTGAGTCATGTGAGTTGCTTTTGATTTCCTGTCATTCGATATGATATTTCACAAGCGGCCTGAGCAACATTGGCTGAAAGACCCTCCTTTGTAAGCCATTAAATCATCAACAGGTTCGCTCGCCTGGCTTCCATGGTCTATCCGCCCTCACGCTTGTCTCAGGCTCATCAACGCATTGAGATCCTGGAAGAAGAGAGGCCCAGTGACCTTGTGATTTTTCATTGGCTCAGAATCTCAGAAACCATCGCGGCAACTTCAAACTCTTGCCGTCATGAAAGCTGGGTAGTTAGCGATGAAGTGTCTTTGTGTTGTGCAGCGTGGGGACCGCGTTTTCCGACATAATCACTGAATGGCATACATGGGACAAGTCACAGGAGACATTAACCAAAACGATGGGTGGCAAGGATGTTGCCCTGTGGCTTGCTGCCTCGACATGCAGGCAACGCTTTTTGCATGAAGGCATCTACGATATTGTAAATGTCTTGTGTCAGTGCCTTATGGGGGAAGAACAGGCGCCGCCACTGAGCCAGCTTATATTTGCCTCCAACATGGTTGTCAAGGGTAGCTCTTATGGGCTCGGAGGTTTACATACAAAGCTGCCTTGACATGGCATATGATGGCATTATTCTTGAGGCAGATCTAAGACATGTCCCTCATGAGGCTCAAGGATGTTGTTGTCTAAGTGGAGTCTCAACCTTTCCAGACGCCACACCTGTCACCCATGCCACGGCTGTCACCTTTCCGGGCAACTCTCTAAGGTCGGAACCCAGCATGGAAAGCACTAAAAGCTTGCAGTCCAGCTCAGGAGGAGTCGACTTCAGATGGTTTGGGCATTCAACATAAACTATGATTGATCCCCGGAACTTATACAGAGTAAATTAGCCAGTGTTGGATGATGTTCCACTAGTTTTGTTTCAATATGATCGTCGAGGTTTGGGGACACCTGCCCCAACAGCACTGCTATGGTAAAAGCAGCATAGAATTGCAGTACCGCAAATCTTTGGGGGTCTGGTTGGGCAATTTCGAAACTGTGCATGTTGCTGAGCTATTGAGCCCATGAGACTGCAGTTGTCATCCAAGACACGGCCTGCAGGACAAGAGCTGGCAAAGTCATTTGGGGGTAGAGGCTCATGGTTATTTTTTCTCATTCTCCTCGTCCAAGCTTTCTTGAGCACCGTTGATTGGCCCGATGCCAGCATATTGGTACATGGCTGTCCTGAAAACAATGTGACGCACAGTCACACAGGCAACAGCCAATTCAAGGTCGCAAAGTGACACGATGGCTGCGACTTGCCTGCAATCATACGCGTGCGGCTTGCTCGAATCAAAACTTCGGGAATCGAAACGTGCTCATGACCATACATGGCACAGTGCGCTATACACGGCATGTATGAGGTGCATGTGCAGAGACGCGTGGCTTATCAAGGTTAATCAGTGGCACACATCTGATTATCTTTGGTATTTGCATTTTGGCCTCAGCTGCCAGGTGGGGTGCCTTGCATCTGATTTGAGCGGAGCCGATGGGGAAAAAGGATGAAAAAGGCGCTTTTGCAGTAGCTGGGCGTAGGTCCAACCTACACTGCAGGCGTTGTACGTGAACATCCCACCGCACAGTGGCAGTCAGCTCCACCAACCGCACTGCGGTGAAGCGGCTTTGGACAGACCGCCAAGTGAAGATCACCCGAGCTGCGGAACTAACATGCAGTGGTTATTTAGGGGATGAACGAAAGAAAGACACATGAGAAAAATACGGTGATGTGCGGCAGGACCATCATGGTTCATTCACATGTTGTTCTGTGTGTTTTGAAGCAGGCGAGTTCGTCGGGTCTTCGTTTTCACAGTTTGCCCTGCGGGGTCTTGTGGCAACAGGTCTGCTGCTCGCTAATGAGGCAATGAATCCGAGCCCCACTCGCAGCCTCTCAGGGATTTGTGGCGATCACCTCGGGCGAAAACGCGAAGCTCTTGCCAGGAAGTCAAAGGCCACACCACTCACGGCTCCAACCTCCCATGGTATACAAGTAGGAATGGGTCCCCTTATTGGGCACTTCAGCAGCCACACCCTCAATCTTCCCTGGGCTGGATTGCCAAAGCCCTGCCATGGCCAATGGGTAGCCGTTCAAGCTGCACGTGTGCTTGCAGCGAGGGGGCTGCCAACAATGCTGTCGAAAGCAGCTTGGATGCTATTAGACTTGGAATGACTTGGAGGTTGGTGGCATTCGGCGGTTGCATGTATGAACTCTATAGGGGAGGGGGATGAGTTTGGACTTGCTGGAGTGCAAGATCGTCAGATTCTTCCCATCGTATGGACAGTGACTGGGATGCCTTGCCACATCGAACGACCTTGTCCTTTTTTCTTTCATATGTGTTTCATTCATACCCCAGCACGGCACAAAAATAAAGAACGGGCGCAGGAAGTTGCCTGTTCCAAGTACTTTGGTTTTGCCATAGCAGTGCCCTCGCGCTCAGGCTACTGCTCAGAGAAGAACGTGGCCATCGCCCACTCAGGCACCTCGCGGCCTTTGCCCGAAGCGCTGCAGGAGTCTTCCCTGCAGTCGCGGCCGCCAGGTATGCGACCGTGTGAGCAACCGCCCCCCCCAAAAAGAGCGATGAGCACATTTCGTACAGAGCGGTCGTGGATTTCAGACTTCACTTCAGGACTTTGGCTAAAACCCACCTACGCTCACAAGCAATAACCTGGTTGATCATGTCCTTTGGGTTACGGGACGGCAGACACACACGTCTGTTTTGCCTTGCTCCAACAGAGCACTTGGGCACTGGGAGGTCTTTGCACGCTTCCGGGCAATGGTTTTCCGATGGCAAGGCCCAAGAGATTGCAAGAACCCAGGAGGAAGCATTGCAGTTTGGACCTTGGTGCCACGGGTCATTTTGTGCCTTGGTGCCTTCATTCCACCACAAACTAGTGAATCTGGTTCGCAGTGCGCAGATCGGATGTGTGTTCGAAAACCTCAGCTCAGGATGCTCAGATGGTGATCCTTGAAGGAGGCTCCCGATTTTTTGGACATTGGATGGATGGAATGAAGACCGGATTCGGCATCCTTGAGCGTCCTGCACCTTGGACCTATCGTTTTTCGATTGATCCGTCAATCACACCGGGTGATGGATGTGAAGGTGGGAGGTCGGAGATCTCACACTGATGTGAAGTTCTTTTGCTATTTTTTCTTAAAAGCAACTTGTTACTACTAGTAAGGCACTTGTTGCTAGTAGCGATGCACTTGTTCCTAGTAGCTTCTTGTTAGGTGCTACCGGAGTGTTCGAGTTTAGGATCTCGTTTTTTCTGCGGAATGTATGACGCGGTGACTCGGTGACTGTGGAATCTCAGTGACTCTGTGACTGGGATTTTTCCGCGATGTCCTGAGGATGGTAGCCGCTATGAGGGCGACTTCCAGAATGACAAAGCGAGTTCCGCAGCATGAACGTTGGTTGTTCTTATTTGTTTTTATTTTTGTTTAAGGAACTCCTCCCGTCACTTGCTGCTTGACTGGCAGTGTTCATCCTTCTCGCCCTTCTGCTGGAAATTCAGCACCTGGCATAGTGGCCGTTTAAAGTTTGTGTAGTCTTTCTTTTGCTCTTCAATGTGGCAGTGTGTTTCAAACATTTTCAAACTATATATAGTTTCAATGTCCTTGCCGTTGATGCTTTCAATGCCCCCAGCCAGAGCTTTGTGCCAAGGTGGGCAGGGAACGTTGGCGTGTGCCTCTGGTGATGCCAGCCATCATTTGCTCAAAGCACGCTTTTATGTCATCAGTTTTGTCCTTCTGACCTGTTGAACTTACAAACTAGTTTAAACTATAATATACATATATATATATACAGTATATCTAGTTTGTTTTTTATATATAACTATATGTATATATGGTTTTAATACCTAAGGATCCAGTTGGAACGCCTTGGAGGGTTATAGTACGGTCTCAAGAACGGGGGGCCATCCGCCGTCAGTTCAACCACAACTCAAGATTTATACAGATGATCCATGTAAAAGATGCTAGGTCATTGCAACTTGACCTAGGTAAGAGGCTCCTAGGTAATGCTTTGACCTAGGCCATAAAGATGTTCCAAATCGTTGGGCGACCTTTTGAGTGTTGTGAGACATGGGTCGAGGTCTACGAAGGCCAATGGGCCGATGGCCAGGCGCACGGCTTTGGGCGCTTCACGCAAGCCAATGGCAGCTACTACGAGGGTCGCCGGGCCGTCGTCTGGAAGATGTGAAGCCACAGGCCACAGGTAAGGAATTTGTCACAAATTAAAAATCTACACAACTGGTCATCCAACAGGTGACTGATAAACTTTTGGTGGAACTTGCAACAGTGTGAAGGTTGCGCCTTGAGGTTGAACGATTGTTGGAGCGTGCGGGTGCTTCAAGAGGCCAACTGTTGCAGTGTGGTGACCCCCTTTGAGCATCTTCTCCCTTCAACAGCTTAGTTAGTAGCTGTGACCGGAACAGAAGACGGTTCAGAAACTAGCTCCGATTCAGGAACTATGATTCAGAAACTTGCGATTCTGAAACTACAGAGTGTCCAGATTCAGAAACTATCCGATTCGGAAACTGGGGGGTCGGGGGGTGGGGTGGGGATCTAATGAAATGTTTGTGTTGACGTAGCGTGGACCGTGGACGTCTTCGTGTTTCACAGACCCGATTCAGAAACTATCCGATTCAGAATCCTATATAGTTTCCGATTCTGCGCTCCTTTTAGTTTCCGAATCCGCTCCTAGTTTTCGAATCCTAGTTTCCGAATCCGCCGTTCCAGTTTCCGAATCCGCATTTCTAGTTTCCGAATCCGCCGTTGACCGCTGTGACTGCACCTCCTCTCCCTATGTACATATATCTCCAGTATATGTACTGAAAATATTTATATAATATATATATATATACATATGTATATACAGTATAACTGACAAGGTGGGACATTTGGAAACAAAGTGCTGGCTGCCGTTGCTAAGGCCAGTGGGCTTTTGACCAGCAAGAAGGATTTGGCATTGAAACCTGGCCAGATGGTTCCCGTAACTTGGCCCAAGCCTTCCAAGACTTGGCACGTTCGCCTTCGTCGAAACTTCGTCTCGGCAGGTTCAGCAACCCCAAACTCAGACAAAGGAATTCAGTTCTAGTGATTCTAGTGGTGGGACAGTATAACATGTTATTAGACACGTAGTTGGACATGATTTGTCCTCATCTTCTTCCATATCTCCACAGAAAACTGGCAGGGAGGGCTGCGCATTCCGGAATCCAAAGCTCGAAGGTGAAGAAAGGAATGGGACTAAAGGCGTTTGACACTCCGGCTTTCCAAAGGCAAAGCTCTTTTCGCCCAGCTACCCGAAAAAAACCCTGGCAGCCGGTGGGCGATTCAGGATTCGAAGGCTGCTACAAGGGCAACCTGAAGGAAGGCCCAGGAACCTTCACTTGGGCGAAGGGAGCTTCATACACCGGCGAGTTCAGCAACAATGTCCTTCATGGCTCTGGCGAATACAGGCGGGGCTGGTGAGCAAACAGTTGACCTAGTAAAACGGTACTTTGATTACCCCATCGATTCGTGGGGGCATCACCTGCCTGTAGCTGCGTTCTCACATGCCGCGTTTGATCATAATGTTTCTTGCGGCGACCACGGCCCGACCTGTCCCTTCAATGCCAGCTTCATGAGTGCACAACCGTGCACAACCCATGGCAAAAAGGTGGCCTGATGGCAGACACTACTCTGGTCAATGGCTGAACAATGCATTGAATGGCATGGGTGAAATGCATCTTGGCACGGGGTTGACGACAAGCCGTTGGCCTCTACAATTGGACTATATAGTCAGACAATGATATCCAGTGTTGAGTTATTTTGGCAGGCGACACTGATAAAGCAGTGTGCAGATGCGCTTGAGCCACACCCACAAGCTGAGTCCTGTTTTGTTAATCTCACTGCGGATCCGCAGGTGTTGTGTTTAGCTCAGAGTATGTTATCCCCGAAGTCAAGTGAAGATTACGGCCTCGTGGACCTGTGACTTTGACCAAGCCATTCACGCCATTTAGTGTCTTTTTTCTTGCCGCCAGTGAAGAGAAGCTAGATAGCTCGTTTGTTCACTTGGCTGCCTAGAGTGGCCAGAGCTATTCTGGGGATGATGGCCAAGGACCTGGCCAGACGGCCGGTGCTATCGAGGCCACTACCGGCAGGATCAAAAGCATGGAGAAGGAGATCATTGCTTTACTGTGACGTCAAACCAGAAGCGCCCAAAAGACTAGCTTTGTCGATCCAATACTGAAGCTGGATCTTGGACGATTTTGCTCTGAGCATCTCTGAGCCAGGATGCTTTCGCTGGGCCAATGGAAGCCAGTACAGCGGCCAATGGTTGCAAGGCAATGTGGGGATCCAGTTTTTAAGGCGGTCCAAGGTTTCCAAGTTCCAAGACGGATGAAAACAATGTGAAGTAGCCTTCTCGTGACAGGTTTCTTGTCATCAATACGTGAAGTGACCACTTGTGGTCACCTGATGTTGGACGTTCACGCACTGCAGACGCCTCAAACGCACGGTCTTGGAACAAATAGTGCTTGTGCTTGAGGAGGCCACCCGCCATATCTACAAAGCAAACAGCCGGCTGTCAGATGTGTTGATCGAACTTTTGTGCCCACTGAAAACTTGAAAGCAAACTTAAACTGCAAGCAAATGTCAACCGAGGTGTCAAGAACCTCCAACAACAAACAATGTCAAGACCACAAAGAACACGTCATATTTATATATATACAAAGATATTTGCCAATCAGGCGGGACAACCTCCCCCCAAGTCTATTCCTTGAATGATCCTTTCCATTGCTGGCCTAGTGTGATCATGCTTCAGAGAAACAGTTTGACAGATTGGCAGGAAAGCAGCATGGCTTTGGAAGGTTCAAGGGGCGTGATGGCAAGGTGCCGGGCCGTGCTGGGTGGCTGGCTGCAAACCCCACCAAGCAGATGAAGCAGACAATCTGTGCTCACCCAGCTTGTGTCGTATTCTTTTGCCAGTTATGTTGACAAGCAAGTCCAGACCATGAAGAATGAAAGACTTGGCCCAGCGTCGGCAATTTGTCGCGCTCGCGGGCGGCAGCAGCCAGGTTCGAAGGGGTCAATGGGAAGATGGTGTGCTAATCGGCTGGTTAGAAGCTCCACGTCGGCCTAGCATGCTTATGGCGAGCTTTGAGTTTTTTAAACATTTCACATCTGATGTGGGAACAAGTGTTACCGCTTCAGGTGATGAAGAGCCAACGGACCGTTTCATCCCTAAGGGCGGAAAGCTTGCGTCACTGGGCTGACAATTCTTCGTGCAAAGGGCTTCCTCATGAAAGAGAGCGTTTTCTCAGACCGTTTGTGTCTAAATTGTGTCCTTCGCAACCTCCATGACTGCACTCACAGAAGCCACAGAGCTGTGCTCGGCAGCTCCCACCATCCAAGGTGATCCCGTTATAGGAAGAGCATGTTAGAGTTTGAATGTCAAATGGACGTTTTTTGGGCAATTGGACTGTGGAGTCCTTACCAAGGTCATCCACACTGGAAACTTCTGAAGGCACGGTGTCAAATGCAGCCACTCACAATCTGTGAGTTGGTCGGCCTGAAGTCTAAGTCTAGTCTTGTATGTCATGGTTTGTATGCATATGTGTTTGGGTTGTGTGCTCCACGACAACACTTAGAAGCGGGAAGTTCCAAAGAAAGAAATATATACATCAGACGCCTCCCCTTGACCCCTCCACAAAAGCAGGCCAGTTGGTGCGATGATGGAGTCAAATTCAGGAGGGCTCAGAAGGGGTTCAATTCTCACTGCGCATTTCCTGAACCAACAGCTCCCAAGTGATTGACCTTATGGTTTTTATGTCTTGGCTCAATTGCTCAACTTCTTGTCGTTGAAGTTCTTGAACATTCGACTGCGAAGCAGAGGCTGACCCTATCGTAGTACTTCAATGCTCCTAGGTTTGGACATCCGATGTACTTTCACAGCGGCCACCGGTGCCAAAGTGCACCAATTCAGGGCGCTCAGAAGCACTGTGAATCGTATGCTGACCTGGGGCAAAGATGCAGGTGAGTTGAGCGGAGCTCGAGGGTGTGGAAAGTCTCGGGAATTCCAAATGTTATCTCGTTCAAGGAGTCGAGTCGGGCTCCATTGATGTTGTGCTCATTGCTGACATTCCCGCAGCCATACCCACAAACCCTGAGCCGTTGCATGTTTTCCGCAGTTCATCATCACGTTCTACAACAGGAGCTGAAGCATCCATACGGAACACGGTGCGCAACCAATCGAAGCATCGAACACGCCTGAACACGCATGATGCCACTGGCGAAACCTTCAAACAGCTACTGTAGCATCCTTTGCTAAATAGGATGTAACTGCACAGCCCCGTCGCAACTCATGGAGGCTGCATTTGGAAGTTGACGTGTGTTTCAGGCGGGTTGCACTGCATACAGCTGCATACACGTGTCGATGTTGGGCATGCTGCCCAAAAGCTCCCAGAAACGTTCGATGTTGGGCTTGCTTCCCAGATGGTGCGGAAGCCCTTGCCGGACTACTATGCTGCCTTGGAGATTCGCGAGGAACCTTGGCAGTGCTCCCGGGACTCGCACTGGACGAAGCCTCAGGTTGATTTGGTCATATTTGGTCCAAGTTATATATATATATAGAGGAATTGAACCAAATTCAGGGTCAATAAAACCCTAGTTCATGAAGATTGTGTCGAATTATGGCATGGCCTAGGGCCTGGGGGGGCCTCCAGCGAGAGCAATTGAACATCAGCTTGCCACCAGCGAAAAAGGTGTACAATTGGTTGCATCATTGTGTTCCATTGGCTTGTTCTGAGTTTGCACGTGTGTGGAATCAGTTACAACCTTTCGCTATGCTTCGCGTGGCTTCCAAGCGCCAGGAAGCCGATGAAGTGACCATCAAGAAGGCTTACCGTGCCTCAGCGGATATGTGTCGTCACCGGAAGGAGGTGGCGGTAGAGGTGACGGTAGCAGTTGTGGATGCAGTAATTATCACGGATATGTGGAGCAAATGTCAAGAGTGGTAAACAATCCATAGAAAATCAGGGCTACTGGGTCCTTTGACGCCAAGAGTTTCAAGAATGCAACCTCAAGGGTTTGGGCCCAGAGCCAGCTGGCACGTTGACATTGCCGAGGACGCCTGGTCCTCCAATGGCATCCTGACCGAAATCCTGCAGACCGCGAAACTGCTGAGGATCGGAGACTAAATGTTTGAAATTACATGTAGATCATGTAGATGTAGTGATTTTCAAAAGCCAGTGTCAGTGCCAGGGTGAGCGCACCAGCCAGGAAAAGATCCGATTGCTAAATATTGCATACGAGACCGTAACCAATCCAATCAAGCCAGGGCCTCGGGCTAAACAAGAACACAAGCATTTGACGCGGTCATTTGACTAAACTACCTCCGAATGCTTCCACACTTTCTGGTAAAGAGAGTGACCTTCCACGTCTTGCGCACAATCCATTGCATCCAGGAATCAGATGCGTGATTCATGGGTCTCTAAAGTCTAGAGAAAACAAGGAAGGAGAACTGAGCGAAGCAGACAGAGAGGAAGATTCTAAGAACTGAGGCGTGAAACCTACGATCTGCAGCGAGCAGCATCCAGTAGGCCACTGGGTGACAAATCCATCAGACTTGTCGAACCTCCACACACGGCTCAAGAATTCCTACACTTGCAAAAGACGAGGTTGAGTTGAGACGCACAACCATAATCAAATCATGAACAGATGAAGTCTAATGATGTTTAACGTCAAGGTGTTGGTTGGGTTTGTTCCTCGCAGTGCCACATTGGACCCACCGGTTTCTCCTTCCCTGTGGCGCAGGAAGAGCAAGGCAAAGCCACGATCGGCTCCGAGAGTGGAAGTCCCCAAAGAGCCGGGCTGCGCGGGCGGCTCCGGGAGTCTCGTTCGCGGATCCTCGCGGATCCTCGGGGGGAGTTCGGGAGTTCGGAACCGGTGGGAAATCGGTGGAAGATGCCCTGCAGTTCCTTCGTTGACATATGAGCTGAGGAACAAGGAACGCAGGCGCAGGTGGAGCTAGTTTGTGGTGATCGCATGTCTGGCAACCCTCAAATGGCTCGGATAATGTAGAACCGCGTAGAACAACAGAAGACACAGAAGTCAATAACAACAGAATAGTAATTTGCCTCAGAAATTGACTTGCAGCTGTCACCACCCCTTGAAACATCCTTATCTAAGCTTTTCCACCACCCATATATACATATAATTATAGCGGTCCCGGGCTGCTGAGGTTTATGATGACACCTCTCGGATATCCGGAATGCTTTGTCCGAAGCTGCTGGGATGTTCATGGGAGGCGGCTACCGCTGTCCCTTCTACCGCTGTCCTTTTGGTAAGGGTGCTCCTTGTGAGAGGGCTGGTCGGACTAGAAGCCTAAAATGGCCTAAAAGCCTTGCTAGTCTAGTGGCCCTCACGGTGCCCATCTTGGATACTTTGGCAACTGGAAAAGCCGGTGAGAGCTGTGCACTGTGCACCCAAAACAGCAGTGGGATTGTTGCGTTCACAGAATTTCACAGATGACAAATGGACCGTTTGGTTTTTGGCCGAGGAGCAGCCAGAGAAGTAGAGAAGGAGGGATTAGAGACCGCCAACGCCCCGCAGCAAAGGCCTTGGCAGGCGCGTGGTGGTGCACTCGAGGAGCTCCTTGGCTCCTCTAGAAGCAATGGCCTCCAACCTGCTAGCGATGGCTTCCTTGGTGTGTTTCCTGGAGAGTGGATGTTGTTTCCTCTTACGTACCAGTGGTTGGTTTGCATGTTTGTCCCCGGGTGTGTGCAGGTGCTTTTCCCCTTTTTCCCTCTTACCAGTGGTGGGAATTGAGGTCACATAGGTCACCATTTTTTACTTCAATCGCTTGATTGAAGTACCTGAAATGTCTGAAAGTGGCTCAGTAGCGGAAGAGCCCAGAGTGTCCCCCAGGAACACCTTCAAACTCTGAGGCGACGACCCAGAGTCGAACTTCCAGAGCTTCTTCGCGAGCACCAAGTTGGCACTATGGTGGCTCCCGGAGGCTTGAGGAGATTGGTTTGCAGTTGCAGCAGACCACTGTCATGACCATGATTTTTGCAGTGTCAAGATCAAGCGTGGTGGGCATGGGCGATGAATGTGTGTCCAGACTCCAGACCACAAGGATCAGGAAATGTAGAATGTCGATTGCTTGGCTATGCGGCTTAGCTACTGTTACGCGAGCTGCCGGCAAACGAGGTGAACAACATGTGTCGTATTCGGAAGTTGGGCTCCAAAGCCCGCGGGGACAAGCGGGGTGCAGCAGCAGGCAGGGTGAGAGTTCTGAGTCATTGGATTTGCCTTTGGGCATTCGATGGTTGAGATTGTTGTGGACTGTTACGACTTCAACCTGGGTCAGTCTCGAACCAATGTCCAGGGAAAGTGTAGACTTGAGCTATGTGGAGTGCTATTAGGGCCTGGGTTTAAAGTCCAGGCCGGGCTGGCGGATTGAACATGGCCTTCGACCCGCAGAAGGCCAAGACTGCTGGCGCTGAAGGTGCCGGGTGGGGCACTCTGGGTTTGCAAACTTCAAGGCCAACAACAGAAGAGTGAATTGATGTGAATTGTGTCGTCCTGATCATCCATACGCCGGTGCAGAAACCTTCCCGTAGTGGTGAACCTATTATAAGTTAATTACAAGATAATTATTATAAGTTATTATTACTATAGAATCTATTATTCAATTCAGACTATCGATGGGGAAGGCTATTGCTGGCAATCCTTAGGGAGACCGAGGTTGCACTTGGCATGGCACTTGGCGGTAAGGGTAGTAGAAGCTTACCGAGGAAGGGCCTAAAGATGATCGTCAGCTTTTTCCGAACGAAAGTGGATTGCTATTTGGAAGAGTGCAAGGTAGTGAAGTCCGTGTGGAAACCCAGGAGAAGACCCTTTTTACACAGAAGGAGTTGGCCGCATCAGAAGCATCTGAAAAGCTTTGTTGTGTATCGGGACAAGCCGTGCACGTGTGTGACATCCGTTTGACCTCAAGTAGGTGCTTCGGCAGTCGGAAGAGTAGGTGCTTCGGCAACCTCTCACCACTTCCAAGGTATGGCACCTGCAAACAAGGGTCAGAAGGCCTGACTGTCAGCGCTGTGGGAGAAGTGGATAGTTTGATGGAATTCACATTGACCGTTCCATGATGCTGTGCTGGAGCTTCAATGTGCAGCTCCAGCATCACCTGTAGATGCAGTAGGCCAATGCAAGTGTGCATGCACAGAGAATGCGTGCAACAAATGGGCAAGTCAGCTTCTGTTTTCTCATCCCGCAACACCTTCCAAACCTGCATGCCATGGAAGCCTGCTTTTTGGCCAAAGCATGGGAAGCCACCTACAAAGCTTCAATCATCCGCACCTCATCAAGGCCAGCTTCCTGGCCAACGCATTTTTGCTAGTTTCTTCCGCCGTTTCTTCCAGCAGTGCCTTTCCAAATCCCAAGGCGCCAGTAGAGCTAGCTGTGGTGGCCCTTTTTCTTCACATGTTTTTACCCGCCCACCCCGGGTCTGAAACACCTGCATGTTGTCAAAGCCAGCTTGTTGACCGTGTGTTTTTGCTTCCCTTCAAGCCTTCCTTCCGGGATTGCCTTTCCACATCTCAAGATGCTCCTCTTCAAGCCTTTTCTTCCAGCAGGGCCTTTCCAAATCGTATCCAAACATGTTTGCTTTGTTTCTTCGCCTGTCTTTCAGCAACACACGACGGATAGGATAGGTTCCTGTCTCATAGTGGCACGCTGAGGAATACCGTACGGTATACCGATAACTTCCCTTTTGGGGGAAGTCTGAAGTGAACTGGTTGTGCGTCCAACAGCTTTGGCATAATCCCCCGTATGGGTCCGTATGAGATTTGTGAGCGCTCACTGCTTCGCTCAAACTTGCTCTGTGCGGGCTGATCCATGCTCTCGAAAGAGGAGCCGCATTGAAACATCAATTCCAGTGCACCTGTTTGCCTCCAAAAGAAGAATCTAGCCGTGTCTAACTGTCTTGCTTGTCCGCCACAACCACATGCATTTCCGCAGCTCCACTGCTTTGGGCTTGTCAAGTTTGCTGTTTGGGTAGCAGCTTTGCCGCTTAACCATACCTTCAGTCCATGCACGTTTCGCTGATTTGGACGCAGGCCGACAGCGTAAACTTTGTGACCAAGGAGAGCCCAGAGAAGATCGAACGATTTCGCCGCCAATCCATAATCCATATGGCAGAACCCCCGATGTAGTCATGTGCTTCAGAGGAAGGAACACGTTTTTGCTGTAGTCATGTCATGCACATACAAGAACTGTTTTCTCTTTATATGGGAGGGTGTTCTGCAAGCGATTTCCATCAAGAAAGTTCATGTGGCTTCCCAAACATATGATTAAATCAAAACGGGCTCGGTTGGAACGATTTGGTCGAACATGCTTTCAGGTTCTCTGTTGTGACGTTTGACTGCCACTTGACCGTACGGTGCACACGAAACCCGATTGAGGCGAGTCCCACTTGCGAAGGAGCGCTTGGATCCCCAGGAAGTGTGAGAAACCCGTGCAATGAAGGCAAATGCTAATTGCAGCTGTTTTCTTTCATACCCTTTCCGCAGGGAGTTTTCGCTTCATGTTTCTTCATGTTTTTTCCGCTTGATGGGCACATCCTGCGGCCTCAAACGCGAGATTTGAATCGATTTGGGCGCCAAAGACCGTGGATGAGCACCGCCGGGTTGTGTGTGTGTGTATGTATTGGCCGGTTGGGTGATACTGGTTCAGTTCTGTTTATGTATATAACAATATATATATATATATATGCCAGCTGCTGTGTGTCTTTTCATCGTTAGGATGCCTTGCTGGATAAGGCTTCGTTTCGAGTCAGCCAGTCAAAGAGGGCCGGCATCTTGGAGTTGTGAGCAGCGAAGACCAGCCGCGAACGGCCAATTTGCAAATGCTGGTTGATCTGGGTAAATCAGACGAATAACCGATCATGTTCTTTCAAGCAGCATATCCCTCGATCTAATCTCAAAAGCGCTTTCATAAATATGACGGCACCAGATGATGAAGTTCATGTTTGCACCTCCCTCGGACACCAAGGCAGTACCTAGCCTTTTTCCCTCCCTCACATTTGAGAGCTTGTGCCTTGGAGGGTCCGAACTGGAAAGCTTCGAAGCAGAGACTCCACTGAAGCAGTCAAGCATAGGTCAGACGATCCGTGAAGCACCGGAGACTGTGAAACCAACGACTGAGGTGGTTCCTTTCCTGGAGGAAGCTGAGGACTCTCAGAGTGAAATGACCCGTCTGTGGATGTTTGTGGCTCAAGCTTCTCGGTGTCCGATTTCGTCAGTGGAACCAAGGAACTCAAAAAAAAACACAGGGTTGAGCACTCCAACGACGTTGGGAATATATAACGTATATCTAGCTAAGGCTATGTAAATATATATATATATGTATAAACTTCATACAGCATCATACATGTATGTTTTACATATTTAGTTAGTTAGTTAGTTTTTTTGAGGTGGTAATGTGATTTTGTAAAGTCTCAAGGTTTGATCATGTCTCATCCACGTATCGGCATCACAGCCTCCAAGGACAGAGTCTTGGATTTCCTCTTCGTCGATTTTGCCAGCATGCCTGAGCCCTGGCAGCGGAACAGGAGCTAACAGCTGGAAGAAGACTGTCGTTCAGCGAACCGTTCGGACAGTTGGCACATGTTGGCACCCATTGAAATCCATGAAAACAATATCACAAGCACATGTGTATAATGCAAGGCTCCGGGCTCCAGACAAGCACAGGTGTGAGTGCATTTGCCCATCAGCTGCAGGTTCAAATTCATCACTTTGGAAGAGGTGTTGCAGCCCATTTTCAGCAGCGCGCTTGTCGTGTGCTTTTCCTGATGCAATGTCACACGTTGGGCTTTTTGATAGGAGTCTCCACCCTTTTTGGGGGAGGGTCGGTTAGATCCGATTGAGCAGATGTCATCCATGACTGTGGGATTCCATAACTGTGGGATCAGATGCTTGCTTGGCTCGTCAGTGGGACCGAGGCGCTGAAGAAGCCGGTGTGTGGCGGAAGCCTCAAGTCGACCTGAGTGCCGAACCTGCTACTTTAGCATGCAGCATGTCTCGTTTGCTTGCTCGTTTACCTTCGGGGCGTCCTTTGCACGAGGCATATTTATCAAGGCACACACGCTTGCAGGTGGTACACACTTGTTTTACAATCCAAATGGGCATGACGGCCCCGCAAATGCGCCAACAAACCTGTGGTCATTTCACGTGTTGTGATATTTTGTGTGCATTTGTTTTGGATGCCTATCTTGGAGACTTGAAAACGGCAGTGCCCAAATTGGTTGAGGATTGAACTGGCAAAGTTGCAAGATGACGAGGCGGTCAAGAGCCACTTTAAAGAGGCTCGGAACTTTTGACTGCCTCAACTACTTTGCACAGTGTTGGCTGCGGCGCACTAAGGAGAGTAAAAACATAAGAATTCTATATCCATAGCTTACGTATATATATATATATATCCGACGGGCTGATTCCTTGTGGATTCGTTCCGCATTCGTTGCGATTTCCGACCACAGAAGCCCTTCCAAACACTCCCCAGTCTAGGCAAGCTCCAGAGGCCGGCACCATTTTCCTGTGCAGGTGATGGGCAAGGACGTTTGGGATGTAGAAGATTTCCAGGCACCAGGAATGTCAAGTTTGCATTCCCACATGTGCCAGTTTCAGATGTTAGACGCGTGCTTTTGTGTGGCTTTTGAGAGATAATTGGCAGCGCAGTGCAATCTATTGACATCTTGGCTGAAGCACTTCCTGCGATTAGATGTGGGAGAGCAGTCGATGACGGAGTGACACACTTCAAGAACCCAGTGCTAACACCTTTTTTTGGTGTTGGATGCCACGAACACACACACACAGATATATACATATATATTATATATATATATATATAGCTTCTTCATGATGATGTTGAAGTGCAGACGCCAGCAGGTTCTTCGACATACCTTGCACCAACAGGGCATCTCGCTTTAGAAAATTGCAATAAAGCCCATTGACTAAGTGTCAAAGACAAAACTGGTGCGAATATGCAGAAAGAACAATGAGATGGTGCAACTTTCTTGGTTTCAGGCCCACCACGCTGGAAGGATGAGAGGGGTGTAGACCGCCATGGCCTGGAGCACGCCCTCGTTGGCCGCATGGAGTGGGGAGTTTCCTCCAGCAAACTCCAGTGGAGGGCAATGGGAGCCTTGCTGCGCAAGCTTGTGTTCCATATGTATCCATGTGTGACAAACTTTCACACAGCATTAGGACCCAAGATGCCGTCACTTTGTGGGGGGGGGGGGCAAGGTGGGACCGGCACCGGTGGTTGACCAGGCAGCCACTCAGTTGAGAAACTAAGGAACACTTTGCCTTGGAGAGCTTCCGCTTATCCACAGTGGTCTTTTGCGTGTTTTTCTCAGAAAAGGGTCCCACCGGGCCACTTGAGCACCACTAACATGCGTTCAATTCCCAATCATGGCCAAAGAAACGCAATGGTTTCGTCACAGCTTTGCTTGTTTGACGCCACGCCTCTGGAGCCTCCTGACACATCTTCCCCGCACATAGGGCTTCCTTGAGATGGTTTGTTAACAACAGAATTCCTGTTTTGAGATGGTCCTCAAACCAGGAGTTGAGTTTGCTGAGGTCGGCATCCTCGTGTCCTTGTTTACCCTCCTCATCCTTTGCAAGGTGCACATCCGTGCAGAGCCCAGATACATTACATTACTCAATTTGCAGCGACAGCTTCTAGAGTGGCAGGGTGCCAAGATTGGTCCAAGATGTGGGGCGGGCGCAAGCAAGTGTCGAACAGTTATGGAAATGGGCGGATTCGTAATGATGAGGATCTTTTATGATCATTCATGATTCTTCATCCAACCGCTTTTCGATGTGAAACGCACAGCTCAGCCAACCACCTGGCTGAGGTGCACATGAACAGACCCGGCCATGCGTGATGTTTTTGATATTGCTTTTGGCGCCTCATGGCCTGAGTTTTTGTGGAAGATGGGCCCTTGGAAGACAATTTTCCTTTACAACCAGGTTGTGTTCCACTTCCATGTTAGCGAGTTGGAGGATATGTTGCCTTGCTCCTGTTCATGGCACCTTCCGGCTTGCTCTATCACTCAACTAGGTTATCATTCAAACGTGTCAAGGTATATGGTGATGTCTCAACATGTCAAGGAACCTGGGTGGCCTTGCGGTCAGTGGCTTCCTGGCTAGCTTCGGAAGCTATGGCCGAGCAGCTTCCACTTTGTCAGATCTGGCCGTGGAGATCCGGGATGTCCAGGAGAGTCTGGGCAGAGGCGGATGTATGAAAGTCTTCCCTTGGCCAGTGCTCATATGTTCAAGACCTGCGTGGAATGGTTGCAATTCGACCATCCGGATGTCGAGTGGGGATCAGCAGGCCGATAAGGCTAAGGTACTGTATATCCAGCCAGAGGTAGAGACGTGTTTCGAAGGCTGCCCACCCAGTAAACCCAAGTGCTTTTTCAATTGTTTGTCTTCACTGCCCAAGCACCTCTCTTTGCGCAGGATATGTCAGCAGCATTGAATATCTCCAGTGGATCTTTCCAACACAACCTGGAGCGATGGTTCACTGGAGCTTCCATGTCCCTAACATTCCTTAACAGATTCACGAGCATGCCTCATGGCCCTCATATGCATGTGTGTTAACTTTGCCGTGTCCATGTTTTTTGTAACTTGGAGCCTGATAGCATCGCGCATTTGCAGACGGGCCTCATGAAGACGTATTTGTAGTTTGATCGAGCTCGGACATGTGAGTTTCTAGAGCACAAGCATGTGCACATGGCAGAAGGTAGGTGACGGCAGTGGAACAAGCTTGAGCCAGACAAAGTGCAATATATTGTTCGTAGAAAAGCCACTTTCAGTGAAGGTGAAGGTGCATTCTCCCGCATCAACTGCAGGACCGCTTGTACACCGAGTGCCCAAATACAACACATGAGTTCTTGGGAGATTCAGTGACAGCGAGAAAGCAAGAAGCACGAGAAGCGCAGGCAAGGGTCTCAGAATGGAGAGCGCCTTAGAAAGGTTTGACAGGTGCGCGGGCTCGGATTGCACCAATTCACCCCAATGTGAGGTAAGGGCCAGTCTGGATAAGCTGTGTGCTGGAGTTCCTGAGTGCAGAAAACACCTTGCTTGCCGCCACGGCTACGGTCGGCTCCGCCCTGGGAGAGGACACCGCGCTGGTGCTCCTGAAGCAGCTCAGCGGTATCCCTCAGTGGCTGACGCAAAGGACCAAGGACTGCCACACCCCAAATTCCAAGTTGGAAACCCTCATGCCGGTGTGAGGAGAGGAAAGTGTATGAGAGTGTATATGCAGTATACACAGTGTCTAGTACTTGCTTTTTCTTGACTTGGAGCCAGAGTTTCATTGGCGAGAATTTGGACTGGAAAGGGCAAGGAATCAGAGGAAGATGCTGTCAGTTTCAGTTGGTCGAGGACATCATATCCATGGCAGCCTTGGTGGCACTCAGCCACTCGGCCCCCGTAAGCCATGATGTTCCACTTGAGTTAGTGGTTAGCGCATGTTTTGCTGGCCTTTGGTGATAAAAAAGCCTGAGAAACCCTTGCAATGAGGCTTTGGGACGCCATTGGTTTTGCTTCTCATCTCCTACCTTGCCATTTGCATGCTGATTGGCGTTGCAGAATGTGCTGGTCCCAAATGCATCAGGCGCTGCAGTTGCTGCCACTGACTCAGGGAAATGACGGGCTGGTGAGGCAGGCTTACTTTCACAGCCCCTTTTGCATGGCTCTGGTTGTCGCAGACCTCATGACCTTTTTTCGTCGCCAGCAATGGCAAACACTGTCTCTACGGTTGAGCTTTCCAGATCACCTCACGTTGCCCAGGTCAAATCGCTTGTGTAGCCGTCAGCTGCATTTCTCCAACGATCTTACTCATCAGCATCATTGTGGCTCTGGAGTTGGGTTTTTCAATGATGTCCAGCGCTTTTTGCAAAAACCCAACCTTGGTGGTTTTGATCCTTGGCTTCAATTTGCAAGCTGTGAGAAAGTGCTGAAATTGCCAGGCTTTAAGTCCTTGACTGGGGGTCTGGATCATGATACGAAGAACTGTTCTGAACCCAGCACAACTTTCCAATGAGTGGACTCACCGAGTCACAATCCAAAAAGCCGAACTGCGATTTCTGTTGAGGCCTTTGGTTGTGTCACCCGCTGTGAAAAAGAAAACCACATAAGAACATATTAAGAACACCCGTTGTGTCACCCGCTGTGAAAAAGAAAACCACATAAGAACATATTAAGAACACCCGTTGTGTCACCCGCTGTGAAAAAGAAAACCACATAAGAACATATTAAGAACACCCGGGTGTGAAACACCTTCCTCCTTTTTCTGAGGAGCTATGCTGACGTGGCCTTTGGGCATGGCTCCCCAACGTCGAACTTGACGAGGCAATTTTTGGACAAGGAGTCGGCGGTGATGGCCCTGAAGGACATGAAGGTCATCCCACGTGTCGGGCGTTTGCACACTTGATGCGTGTTCTGTGCACATCGAGCCGAAAGAGGCAGATGAAACTAAGGTCATTCAAAACCACTTCGCTTTGTGGCAAGAGTGGGTGCTTCAGCCGCATGAAATTCAAGCCTTCAGTAATTCAGCACACTTACATAGATGTTCCATGATTTTCCCTTTGGTGACCTCCTCTGGTCCCATAGCCCTTCTTGGACCTATTTGAGTCATTTGGTAGCTTATTCTATGGCGTTCTCCAGTTTATTGTCCGATTCATTTGCCATCAGCCATCTCACTGTCACTAGTTATGTTCACAGTTCTGGTTGGCAAGCTCATTCTCAGGTCCCTCACAAGCTTTAGGGCACATCAGCCAAGGTAGGTACTTATGGCGATGCCATTCAGAGGAGTTGTCCCACATGGGATGCCTTGAATGCGCCTTGCCTCAAGTGACTGCCATGTGTTCCGTTGATGTGTATCAAGTTTTGCCAGCCAGTGGGTGGAAGAATGCTGGTGTTGACATGCAAGGCATTCCCGTTTCGCATTTGAGTTGGGTTTCGGCTCTCATAACTTGGCCGTGAAGAGGGCGTCACATACTGTATATCATTCTGCCATCAAGGTCTCCCAAAATATTCAGATTATGGACGCTGCTTGGCTTTGATCGCAGCCAGCATCTCTTGCTTGGTGTAGCAGCGTAGCACGGTGGTTGGCTTCGCCGGGGAGGATGAACCTGGGTCGATCGAAGCATCACCTTGCACAATAGCATGCCTGTCTTTGCAGGAGGCCTTCTTCAATGCAAAGGGCAATTTTCAAGCGATCCCTTCCTCACCATGCCTGCACTCATGCGGCAAGGGACTCCAACCGGAGTTGCCGGAGCCCCCTCACAAGGCCTCCTTTGGTCAAAGCCTAGAACACATCCAGTACATTGTTGTATTGTTTGCTTGCACCCACACCCCCACCCAAAAGAATAAACCCAAACACCTGCAATTCTGAGGGATGCAAAAGCTTATGTCTTACGGGCAAAATTCGCATTTGTCTAATGCTTGGAAGCCTGCCGGCCCGATGGGCAACACATGTCCGAGGATGTTCGGCGTCGCAGGGTGTGTTTCAATGACGGGAAACTTCTAAGCCTAGTTGTCTAAACCAGGCAGCAGTTTGTTTCATTCATGTGTGGATCTCAGATTGGCGTGAGTCGTTGTCAAGGCCGGATTAAAAACCTCGCTGTCGATCCTGGAGCCAACCCATTTGCAGCTTGGACCAGTCGAAGAGAGTATCACAGCGTGGCTAGAGGGCTCCGACTGTGGTATATATGATGGAGCCGACTGGGTGGTCGAACGTGCCACGGCAGTGGTCCTGCTGTTGGTTGTTTTGGGTTGTGCTTGCATTTGATCCTGGCACTCACCAGTGCCAGGTATCCATACTACAACTATACTGTGGACAACCTTTTGTGTGGCACTGCTATTTCCAAAATGACTGTTGCTCGGCATCGTGGCAGTCTTGGGCAGGGCACTGTGGAGTGGGCCCGGCGGATGTTTTCAAGGTGCGTACAGAGGGAGTACCAGATGCAGGTACAGCACTGGGATGCACATGGTCAATAAGAAGGAATACCCTGAACCCCTTTTCTGTGGGCATGTGTGATGAAATGGGTGTGGGATGATGTGGGACAATCTTTTTCAGCAATGGCTGCTTTGTTGGGGGGTCAGGTTGGGGTCTTTCCCCTCAAACATCAGGTGCGTCACTCAGGTCTTGATGGTCTTCCAGTTGGCCCTCGGGCTTCTGGGTCTCCCCGTGCTCGCGTGTGCGGCCAGTTGCTTGCTGGACAGCTTGGTCGCAGAGAGGACCTGGGAGCTGCCTGAACAAAGTTACCTCTCAGAGTCCAAGCATCAACGAGTTATGGCACGAAACATAGAGTTGAACAGCTTTGCCAATCAACAGGCAATGATCCGACTGCCAGAGAGATTGCATGTTTGTTAGTGTTCCCTGCAGGCAAGGTTTCGATCTGCTCCAGACAGAGGAGACGCAAGAAGAGCTCAAAAATGGGGGCAGCTGGCTGCCATGGGGTAGTTCCAGCTGAGACTCCCTGCGTCAAGTTTGAAGCATTCAAAGGCCTTCCTTCTCACAAAGCCCGGTATGTTCACTACCACCTGCCAGATCTTGAAAGCAAAGGCTTCTCTGGCAGAGATGACCCCGAAATTGTACAAAGGTGAGCCCTGAAAGGCAAATGCCGAATTCAGCCACAAAGTGCTGTTTTCTCCGGGAACTCCCCAGAACTCAACCGATTTCACACGGGTGTTCACGGACATATCGAACTGCACATGGGTTCAGCAGACATGCTCTTGCGGTCTTGGAAAAGTGTTGTAAAGCCTGGACACCTTGTTGAGATTTAAATTTGCAAGCTTGAGAGCGTACTATATTTAATTATTTGTTCAAAGGGCTTGCAGAAAGGATACGTCTTCCCTATCTATGTACACGGCGTTTTTGCACTTTTGCACAGGAGGTTCCAAAAAAGATGGCAGCCCATTGAGCCACTTATTCCCCAGACTGGTGAAGAGCGCTGGAATGGGCCAAACATGAAATATGTCCCAATGTGGCAAGGAGAAAGAAGCTTAATGCACTGACGCTTTGTTGATTGTTGGAAGGCAGGTAGAGAGTCGAGAGTGTCGTGTCATCCGTGCTTGCACGTCTACCGCTGCTTGACGAGAAAAGGGGTGCCACCTTCAACAAGGGAAAGCACAACGCAGATGACATGAAATGACAAGAAGCTGAACTAGAGACCGAAAGCTAAGCTGAGAAATATGTCGATGAGTATCCCGGTCAGGCGTATTTTGAAGGGCATTGGGCAACCTTTGAGTACAACGCCGAGGACCGTCACAGTCAAAGGAGTGTGCAGGATGGCAAAGGTGGAGTGCCCATGGGTGCCCTGAAGATCATCCAGTTCTAAAGCAGCGAGTCTTTCACAAACAGGATCATCATTCTGAGTCTCATTGCTGGGATGCATTTCGGTAGGAAAAGAAGGCGCGCATGAGGCGAGCCTTTGCCTGTGACCATGCATGCCTGGCAAAGAGATCAAACGAAATATCAAAGGAGTGGCTCAGGGACATCTTAGAAGTTAAAGCTGTGTGGACGAGGGTGCGGTTGGCTCAGATTAGGATGTCATGCCTTCCACTATCGGCCAGCTTGAACCACAGGCCTTAGGCCACGTCCAGTCTTTGCATCAGTTCAGTCTGTTTTACGCTTCCACTACTTCCTCTCAGCTTAGCATCGCTCGGCGTCTCCCCATGTGATTCGGGCATCGTCCCATGTCTCGGCGAGGCCAAAGCAAGAGAGGCTTGCCAAGCAGCTGCGAGCTACTCCAAAGGCTGAGGAGGCGGTGTCACGCTGCAAGCACAACGGTTTGCGGTTTGCAATGGTTGATAACGGTTGGTACTGTAATTAGGGACCTCTTCAAGCACCTGATTGCTTGAGCCGACGGGATGCGGAAGCTCTCTGAGTTGTGTGAGTTGTGCCCAACATTTAGTTGCCTTGAAGTGGAATCCTTCTTTGGTCTTACTATGGCCCGAGTCTTTTGCAGGACTGTCCGAGGATTCACTTCGAGAAAACTCTTGAATCTTGAACAAGCTGGGCTGTGTCTCTTTGCTGGGCTGAATTGTGCTGAATGTTTGAACGCAGGTGGTGGCAGCTGTAGCCAAGACAGATGAGAGTGAGCTGTTGCAACCTTAGAGTCCAGTGCTCCGTGCGAGTCCAAATCTCACCCTGTTGCTCTTCGGAAACAGGCTAGTGATGCGGGAGGTCCTCCAGTCACCATCATCCGACGGGGTTTCGTCAGCCTCCACAGCGTAAAAAAGTCCATCTACTGGATGCCATTGCCCCAGCGTGTAGCAGACAGGGCGGGCCTCCATCTAAGGCAGCGCTTGCCGGTCGGTGCCCTTGCTCGAGCTCTGACGGCTCTTGCCAAGGTGGGGTTGGTTAGAAATTGATACGAAAGTTTCATGTCTTCTTTTTGGTTCCCACAGCACAGGCACGCTGCAAAACTTGCGTGATCCTGGCAAATGTTAAGTTTTGTTGGTGGCAGGTTAGAGAGTCCTTACTTTCTGAATATGTTTATTTTAAAAGTCCTGGGCAGACAAGCAGCTTGCTGCACTTCTCTCGTGCAGTTCCATCTTGCCGTGGCTGACCTGCCATATTGCCAGCCGTCGGGTAGATGACGTACCCCGAAACATCCCGAAACAGGATCAGCATGAATCAGCATTTCCCAGGCCTCCTCAACGGATGGAGAGGACTGGGCAGCAACGTCTGACGCAATGTTATGCTTGACGGTCAATGGCCAGTGTCGAAGACGCGAAAACTCCTGTGGATGATTTCTGCGCCTTTGCTGCACGAGGCAGGCGAAGCAACCTCAGCGCAGATTCAGCTCTTAGCCGCTTTGCCGGATTGCCCAGAAGAGATTTGGATTTCTACGCTCGCTGGAAGATAGGGCCATGTTTGCAGAAATGCGCCAATCCGTTAGAAGAGAACAGATGCGCACACAAGGCAGAGCTTCTCCAGCACAGGGTTATTCAATCCATATTGGGATCAATAAGAGAAGTGCTTCGATGCTTTATGAGTGATACCTTGCAGCCAGCCCAGCTCCTGAGACGTTTGAATTGAAATTTACTGTTTTTTTGGATGTTTTTGGTGTTATATATTTGTATTCAAACCATCCTTGCGAAAGCCCAGGCGCGCTGTTGGGAAAGGTGAGGAGGCAGGTTAACTGGGCGATTTGCAATCCGGAGTGGTCGAAGCAATGGTTGCCCGAGGGTTTGCCACGTATTTGTACAGGATAAGTTGACAGTTCAACGTTTTAACCAATAAGCGTTGACCAGATGTGCCAGGAGAAATGTGACATTCCGGCCTTCGAACTCCTTCATAGTGCGGAGAAAGCATGGGCCCCAGCGGCTGCCGCACTGCTGAGCTACCTGGGCAGTTGCAAAATGTCTCTTCAGTCGCGCCTAGCTTCTGTTTGATACCGATGTGTGACATGAAACATGCCTTTGCCTACCCTTTTGGGGAAGAACTCCCATGATTAGAGTTGGTACAGAGGTGCTTGGGCTAATGCCTTCCCTTCACTCCAGTCGGCACATTTAGCAGACTCGACTGTGATTCCAGTGCCAAGGTGCTGGATTTGGGAGGCGCAGTTGGGTGGTCCATTGCTTCCGGACATCTCCTGGGTCCCAGAGAAGATTCATAAGATGTTTAAGCATTGCAGAGACCATTCTTTTGAAAAAACCTAACCTTTCTGCAAGACGTGGGTGTGCATTTGAATAGGGATCCCTGATCGGCCCTGGGGTTCACTGGTCTTCTCGAACCTTCCAGGGAAACGAACTGGGAGGTCTGCCCAATAGAGGACAACTGACATAGAGGCGGATTGGAGGATGCCGATGGTGCATTGGAGGTGACAACCCCGATGACACTGTCCTGGTGCAGCGGAGCGCTGTCCGATCTCCCAGACACTCCTAGCGGTTCAGGATGAAGCTACAACCGCAAGACATTAACGCCTGTTGGAAGAATTTGAGAATTCATTGCATGTCCGTAGGATTCGAGTCAGTTAGTTTGCTTTGCACTCTCATGTGCGTAAGCTAAGGCTGCCCGGATTTTGGCAAACAAGGCTCTGAAAAGTGCCTCAGCCATAGAGGGAGGTCGGGCTCCAAGTTCCAAGTTGAAGATGTCAACCAGCGAGCCAGAGGCTGCCACTGCTCATCAGTCCGATGCTTTGCATTTGAGGGATGGTCGAAGCAGGCTTCACCTTGCCTGATGTGGTGAGGTCCGGTGCAAGGATTTCAAAAGGGAAGAGAGGGAAAGGAAGGGACCCAGAGAAGATGCCTTGTGCCAAATTCATGCGGTCTAATGAATTTGTTTTGCCCACTGTTGCTCCCACGGATTTTCCGATCTTCTGTTGATCACTTCTAAATGATTCGAAGCAATGCTATGCAGCTGTACCGTCCCAGATCGAAATCAGCTTTGCAATGCTTTGCAAGGTTCAAGAAAGGATCGGACAAAAGAATGTGAGGGTTGTCAGTTGGAATCCGCTCAAAAGTGCCACTCAACCCCAAGCACAGGTTTCTCCTTTTACCCGGAGCTGCTGGGCGTGATTTGCTGCTGTCACCCGGCTGAAAGTCCAGATATCTCCGGGATTCTCCGGGCCCCTTTGTAGACTCAAAAAAATTGGATTCGTTTTTGGATGATGTTGATTTGAGATGCTTCTGTGAGTTTCTTCGTGCTTTGATGTGATGAAGATGAACTGCCACTATCAAACACCACTTTGTTGAGGGCAACCTCCTGCGTGAAGTTGCTAAGCCCTGAGACTTGCATCAAGTTGCTAAGTGCAACGGCCTTCTGTGATCAGACGCATTGCAGCGTGAGTTGGCTGAACCTAGTGACTTACGGACCTGGTGGTGTCATTATGCCAGTCTTATCGCTCTTGAAAAATGCCATGAGATATGAAATGCCCAAGATCTTTTTTGGAACGATGATCAAGCTGAACCTCATTTGCAACGGCGCTTAGGTTTGAGGGGCGAAGCATACCAGAGCAGAGAGAGGCGACATGGCAATGCCTGAGAGAACAGGCATTTTCGCCACAAAACGTCCGTGCGCTGCCTTTCGCCCCGCAGGTGCTGCGCACTGCAAAGTCCAGAGGCAGCACCAACACAGCGGCAGCTGCAGGGACTGCACTGCTGAAAAGCCTTGGTGGAGGCCTGAGAAGTATGGGAGACCCTCTCGCCGGGGCCGGGAAACCAGACGGAGACCCGCCCATTTCACCAAATGCGAGGCATCGATTCTCAAAAAAGAAGAGAAACATCCCAAGCGATGGCTGGATTTGGCCTGGGTTGCACTGGAATGTGTCACCGGCAGATACTGGCAGGAGGTCCGGGGGACCATGTTGCAGCACCGGATGCACATGTGGAGATGGTCAAAGACTCAGACTCAATTATATACTACGTATATAGTTAAAGGCTTTTGATGTGTGTTTTGGTATGTGGCTTGCTGCCCTCCATTGTAAGAGAACTGCACCACCAGGAAAAGACGTTGCAAAGTTAGCGGCGTTGTGTTGCACACAGCCTGCTCCATGTTCAATAAGGTTGCGGAAGTCGCTGAATGTGGTGTAAGGCGCCTGCCTTTGGTATCAAGAAAACCAGCAGTCGCTCTCAGCCAAGACCTGCACAACGTGCGCGGTAAAGGTTATTGGGAATCCTGCAAAGCCCTTGTCAACTTCTTACTTTGCAGATTCAGATTGCTTTTGTCTTTGTGGAGCCATTTTGCCATGGGTGTGGTGGACGCTGCATTCCCAGGCTGCCTGCCGCCACTGCACTTTTGAGGCCTATAGCCGCAATAGCCTACAGTTGATGCCAAGAACTTGCCGTGAACACCCCTCCGCATTTGTTGCCCCATTCTTGGTGGCACAAGGGCCTTTGGGACTCTGGAATAGAACAACAATTCTCTTTGAGAGTGAGCTACCGCAGGCGCATGGCAGCCACTGCAAACCCTTTGAAATTGGTCAGGATCTTAGAAACCTGCTTGAGCTACTTCCATGTGCATACACTCTGACACTTGTATTCAGTGACTCAGTTACCACGTTGGGAAGGAAGGTGATGGAACAGCAAGGCGAAAAGGTCCAAAGACTTGAATTGTTGAAAAAATGTTTCACTCGTGCGGCTGGCTGCAATGCACAGGCGGCTGAAAGCTGGGGACGAGTGGGTTTGTGGGGAGTATCATGAACAACCATGGAAACAAAAAAGGTGATTGGAACAGCTTGCTCAACCGTTGGTTGCAGGTACGTCGGCCAGCGTCCTGGCCGATATCCTCAGGACACTGCAGAGAGCTTTGTTAAGTGGAGCTCTGCAGGCCTGCTCCACTCCCCTGCTGTGGAACTGAACGGTGGTAAAGGTGACCAGTGGATTAGTCGGACGAAACCCTTTGTCCAGGGGTGGACACACACAGGTCGCCGGCTTCGGCGCTTTTTTGCTCAAAAAACGGTGGAGGGCGTGCTTTGTCAAAACTAATAGCCACCTAAAAAGCCTTAGAAAGACAGACAAAGCAAACAAAACAAAAGCAGACTAAGAGGGCAAGAAAGAAAGATAGGAGTAGTTACGAGGCCCACTTAGTTAAATGAAAGTAGAACGCGAGCGGGACATTTTGTCTTAAACCGCCCGGGTAGCTAGCAATAGCTAGGAGAAACAGAAGGAAAGGCACCAACACACAAGTGTGTTGAGTGCGATTTCCTTCTGTTTCCCGAGTAGCGGGTGGGATAGCAACGGAGGCATGGGGGTGGGGAGGGGAATGCATGATGAATTCATCCGGCCTGTGAATACTTAGCAGCACATGCATGTGAATACTTGGCCGTCAAGTGAGTGATCCGAAAGCTGGTGGGAGAGAGAAAGCTGCCGTGTTTAGGCCCGGCGGCCAATGCAGCAGTTGATTCAAAGGGTGTGTCAATGACTTCCAGTGGAAAACAGGTGAAAGGTGGCAAGTTGGGGTGGATGCTTTCCCATGCAAAAACGGCGCCACGGGGATCACACTCAGCACCCGAGTGGGACGGCTGAGCGAAACACACTCTGACACTTGTATTCAGTGACTCAGTTACCACGTTGGGAAGGAAGGTGATGGAACAGCAAGGCGAAAAGGTCCAAAGACTTGAATTGTTGAAAAAATGTTTCACTCGCGCGGCTGGCTGCAATGCACAGGCGGCTGAAAGCTGGGGACGAGTGGGTTTGTGGGGAGTATCATGAACAACCATGGAAACAAAAAAAGGTGATTGGAACAGCTTGCTCAACCGTTGGTTGCAGGTACGTCGGCCAGCGTCCTGGCCGATATCCTCAGGACACTGCAGAGAGCTTTGTTAAGTGGAGCTCTGCAGGCCTGCTCCACTCCCCTGCTGTGGAACTGAACGGTGGTAAAGGTGACCAGTGGATTAGTCGGACGAAACCCTTTGTCCAGGGGTGGACACACACACACGTATATATTTTTGATACAGTAATATGTTTTGCGATGATACCTGAGATACCCATGCACGACCTTATCACCGGCCTGAGGCAGAGGCTCTTCTAGCATTAGCTTCCCGCGTTGGCCCTGGCCAGGTGCAAGCACACATTGATTGGTCGAAGTGTGTTTCCAGCTTCGTCAGTCAGAAAAATCACTTCACTCAAAAATTGGTCACCACTTCACAACGTGAGCTTTTGCTTTTTCTGTTCTGGAGAGAATGGGTCAAGCCAGGCTGAAGACATGACTCATATTGCGGAGTCCTTGGCCAGCAAGGCGAGAGCGCAAGTGAAGAGGCCGATGTCCTCGAAGTCCTTGCGCCTTAGGCATTTCGTGGCCTTTGGCAGAAATTTTGGCCGTTTAGCCCTTTTTGTTTGCTTGTTACTAGTATATAGCTATTTGCTCCTAGTAGTACGGCCAGGAGCTACTAGTACCGTCCTTGCTCCTAGTAGCGATGAACGGGTGCGACCAGGAGATTTTTCAGTTTCCCGTCAGAGAGAGAGCTTCTGCATTTCAAGACAGGCCTCCAAATGGAACCTGGATCGAAGGAGCTTGAGATCTTACAGATTCCCGTATCCGAGTTGGACGACCAACCACGAACAAACACCCTTAAAGCCAAACTGTGCCAACTCCTGGATTGCGGCTGGTGAGTGGCACTAGCAGTGGCAGAAGCAGTAGCAGGTGATGGCTGTAAGGTCGAAGTCATAATAGGTCCCGGAATGACAGTACACATTGTACATCATATTGCTGCCGTTGTCGTCCTGCGAGCACGCTGCTGATGCTGTTTCTCACAATGCTGGTCCCTAGGTGTGTTCACCGTTCCTTAGCGCTAATCTTCTTGGTTCATCAGACATATGGCACTCTCTAAACCATGGGCGCTGTAGAGTTTCGGCTGAACCTGTGGCTTTCGTGTCGAGCACACAGACATCATCGGTCAGGGCGCATTCGGGAACTTTCCCATCAAAACAATCCTTGAGACAGTGCTGGCGTACGGTCCTCATGTGGTTTTGGCGTGTTTTGACGTATCATTTTGATGGAGCTCAAACTCACGCGAGGCCCAGTAGAGTCGACTAATGTCAATGATACTGCGAGTTGCGCCAGAAGCTGGCGGTGGTCTTGTTTGGACGTGATGGTGTTTGCTTGTGGCCGATCCTCATCATCACTTTTGCGTAGGGTTCTTCCTTAATCCTCAGTCTACTTTGGCCTGCGGCCTTGACATACTGCTAAGGTCTTCCAAAGATGATACACTGGCAGCCCTAGTTGTACCCGCGGTTCCGGGGCATGTTTATTTTGCTTTGCTTGTTTTGTAGAAGGGGTCGCAAACAATACGGCTATGTATGGCAACATGTGGCAAGCTATTAAGGCTTCTCCATGTTCAGAGGTTGAAGTCGGGGAAAGAAGCTCTTGGCATTGGTGTGGTGTGTCCAGTCTCCAAGCCATTGCCCAGCAGTGCAAGTGGAATAATTTAGATCTTGCCAGCAGAAACAGCCAAAGCAAGAGGTTCAAGCCCAGTTTCTGCCAGGCAGCTGCAGCAGCCAATGTGCTCACACACTGGCCTTTTGAGGAGGTTCGTATTGGTGTGGCGGTACCAACGGTTGAGAGTAGATGCAATGAATCATGTTGATGCAGGATAATAGAGTCCGTCAGGTAGAGGCTCATTATGGGCAGTTTAAAAAGACAAAGATCCATGCAACTACTGGCCCAAGACCTTTGCAGAGGTGTTGTTTGATGCTAAATATGCGCAGCAAGTCATTTCTAGTATGTTCTCACGAAGATGGCAAGTCAAGCAAAGCAGGAGCCCCAAAGATGTGAACTCACTTGTTTCAGCACGCTGAAACCCTTTTGTTTCTCAGGGTCTTGTTTCACACCAGCTGAATCATTTTCAGGAAGTATTAGGTGGTGCCAGCTCAAGTTCGAAGTATGAGCTGCTTTGCCGGCTCAAGACTAAAGACCAAGTCCATCCAAGTCCTATTGCCTTTCTGTCAGCATGGGGTGTGCCGCCAGTGCCTCTTCAAAGGAGGAGCGATACAGACTGAACGAGATAGCGCAGTTCAATGCTAGAAACACAGCTGTGACTCTTGCAGCAGCTTTTGACTTGGTTGTTTGATATTGCTTTGATCATGGAGGTTTCTTGTCAAAGGTTAAAGTTGGACAACCAATCAGGTGTTGCAATGTTGCACACTGCCAAGGAGTTGAGTTTGGTGACGAGGCTTTGGTGACTTACAGGTCTTGGGAAGGAGATGCCCGAGAGGAACACCCCGACCAGCCTCGGCATGTTCCCCTTCCACCATCACGTGGAGAACATGAGAAGCATTTGCAGAGAATGGAAATCTTTTCCAAAGCTCTGAGTGCTCACCCATTGGGGTTCCAAAGCTTCATTGAGAGGCAGGTTCCTCAGAGTTGACAACTAGCGGGCTTTTTACATCGAAACTTTTGGCACCTCAGTGCCTTAGAGTGCATTCGCTTGGGATGCACCAACGTTCACCACTGTGCGAAGGCGTATGGTTTGACTTACAGATGCCAGATGATCAAGCGCAGATGGTTCAAGCGCGGACATCGCATCTGAGTTTCCTTCTAATTTGAAGTTCAACTTCATGCGAGCCCTTGGTTTGAAGGAGCTCATGCAATTGACAAGCATTTTTCTTGCTGAAATGCTGGTTCAACATGCAAAGGCTGCTGTTCCAGGATCACAACATGACTTGTCAAGACACTGATTGCGCCGATCGATGGACCTTGCGGCCAAAAGACAACACATCTTGGACTTTGAATGGTAAGTAAAGGCTGCTGTCCATATGCCTTATAATGAATTCGTAGTGTTCGAAATGAGCTAGTTGAACACTGATTGTGGGGGTGTCATGTTCACCAATCAGTTGGGCCTCACTTGGACCTGGATGGATTCTGGTCCCAGCGTTGGTGTGGAGCGAGCCTGACTAGAGTTTCGGGTCATGTTCTTGACTTGGGGGACGAAGCAAGGCCTGCTGACAGCCGCTAGCTATCCACAAGCAAGGAAGCTGTCAACCAGTGTCAATCACCTGCCAAGCAGTCGTCACTCAATGGAGTCAAGTCTCGCCAGATGGTGAAGCTCCTGTTGGGCTTGGCCCGCCGGCATGCGCTCCTCACTCCGGAGGCAGCCGGCAGCCCTGTCAAGCAAACAGGTGCTTTGTGTCTTAGGGGGTAGGAAAATGTCGATTCCCAACGCTGGCTTGCGCTTCATGGCCGACCTTGATCAGGTTGATGATAGCCTGCGCAAAGCAGCTGGGGGCCTGAATTCTGACTCAGGATGCTAACCTTGTTCAGGGGATGAGCCAAAGGCCAAGTGCACGTGCAAAAGGAGAGCTTTGTTAGTAGTAATTTAATTAGTAGTAACGTGGTCTCTTGATAAATCAACCCCCCACCCTCAACAATTGAAGACCCTAAGAATAGTACGATAGAAAACCAATCAATTGATGAAAACAAAAGGAATCATTACTTTGGCAGTACTAAAAATGAAAGGAATCAAGAAACCAAAAATGGAAATCTCAAGACTAAATAGAAATCTGTATCCAAAGACCTTCAAAATCATTAATATGAATCTCCATGGAAATCTCAACGTGTCCAAAAGAATTTGCACCCAAAGACTTTCAAGATCATTCAATCTCAATGAACATTTGGAAGACTTAAATGTTAAAGAGATTATGAAAAGTAACAGAGTCTATCAAAAGGAAAAGAAAGCACAAAGAATGAAGATTAGTTTCAGGAAAGCTGCAATCCAAGAAGCCCCAAATCTCTACCCAAGAAATTAGGAGCCCTCCCAGAATAATGCCAGAACCTTGCTTGCTGGTCTACCCCCTTTGCTGGAATGATTTTGGTGTTTCAATGTTTTTGAATATGATTTTTGTAAAGAAAGTGCGCGCATACTTTGGGAAATCTCGGAAGACTTGAATTGAAGATAAAAGATATATGTATATATATATATATATTGAAAAGTAACAGGATCGGATCAACAGGAAAAGAACACAATATCTCAATGGAAATCTCCTATTCTCAATGGAAATCTGCATCTAGAGACCTTCAAAGCCCAAAGACTGCCAAAGACCTTCAAAATCACCAAATCTCAGTCGAAATCTCCGATTGTTGATGGACATTTGCATCCAACGATCTTCAAAATCATTGAACCAGAGAGGAAAACAATATTAATCAGTGAGGGAAAATTGTTGACATTATTCTGGGGATGTTTATCAATCAGGCTTTACAAATGTGTTTGCTTTGGCGGTGCGTGGCACATTACACTTCAAGATCAAGTACTGGCAAAGTGTGACTGTACGGCTTCGATTTGAACCTTGAGGCAGAGAAGTGCTTCACTCAAGAGCAGCTTCAGCTATTCAGCCTGGCGGCCGAAGAGGGCATAATTGTTGCATCTACGTTTTAGAAGGACCTTTGTTTGTTCAGTCAACAGCTAAAGACCAGACGAGACGCCTTGCTTGGGTCCGATACTGCGCACACAATGGCATCACGCACAGAGAGAGATGCACATGAAAGCATGCATATGAGAGCACGGGGCACACAGCCACAGCACAGATATACAGTATATACACAGATGAGGACAAACAAACAGGCAGATGACTTTGAGGACACCTGTGAGGACGCATGTGACGGCACTGCAAAGAAGAGTTGAGCCACATCTGCAGAGCAGTCGCAATCAGGTCCCAACGATTTGGCTGGCGTGGCTCGAGCCACAGCAAAGCATGTGTTGACATGAGTGACAGACCATGCCCATGCGTGTGGCTTGATCTATTCCCAAAGGAAGCGCCTGCAAGTGCCTGCCACCACTCAAACCAAAAAACCACTGCTTACATTCTTACATAGTTCTTCCGTATGCTTCTGACCAAGAATGGCGTAGAACACACAAATACTTGCATTGGCGGAGACTCCAGAGGTTTTGGCCACATTGGGCCACGGCTGGTCTACCTTGCATACAGTCACGGTTCTCAGGGGTGGCTGGAAGGCGTGCATGTGAGGGTTGGACAAAATCTATGGTTTGGGTCAGCCCCGCCCCCTTCAGATCTCTCCAGTAACTTGAGTGAGCTCGCAGCTCCAGAAAAGAAGACAGAAAGCAAGCAAGTGTTTGCGGTGCACATTACCCCTTCCAAAATACAGCTCACGCAGTCAGAAAATGCCCAGGTGTCAGTGCAAGAGCTCCTTCGGAGATTGCCGCATTTTCCAGCGAAAGAGCTCCTCATGGCCGCTGGTCGAATGTCTCGCGTTTTGAGACGGGGCAACACCGCTCCCAAGCCATTAATACTTGGGATACTTGGGCGGAGCTTGGAACCACGTTGTCAGCAAGGGTGATTTTTGATCATTCTCATGGACTTGAGGTGACACCGCTGATGTTGCAGGCCATGATCCCCATGGTCGACTTGAGGGGACTGTGTCAAGCAGTGTATAAGGATGCTGCTTGGGGCTTAGAATTGTCTTAGGATTCCCATAGCGTTATTGCGCAGCATGAATTGGTTGCCCCTTTCTATTGGAAAAACAATCTCATATATCATATCCAATTCCTTGTGCATCACACTGGGGGGCCATTCCGTGTGTGGCTTTGGTCAGAGATGAATCCACCAGCACCTGCTACACTTGCGACAGGCGCACAGCACTGAGCTGATCACGGCTTGGCCCAAGGTGCTCACGGGCGCTGGTTGCCAATCCACGGATGTTTCACGGTGTGTCCATGCAAAAAAAGGCAGCGTTGGTGTTCCACAGCCATAGGGAGCGGAGACACATAAGCAACACATGCCAAAGAGACAGGTACTCGCAGCCCCAACAGCGTCGAAAGAGGCTCCGCGTCTCCCATCAAGTGCCATTCAATTCCTGCCTAAGTAGCAGCCAGCTCTTCAGTCGCAGCAGTTGCTGAGAGCTCACGTGCTGAGCTGTCATGAGCAAAAACATTTACAAGGTGCGTGTAAATCCTTCTCCGCCAGGCACGATCTTCCACAGAGCCATTGTCAGTGGACCAGCGCGGAGCTCACCCACAGTCCCTCACACCGAGCATGTACTTCTCAAGAGGCCATTTAGGACCTCCCATGTGCTCAGCTTTTTTTTAAAGCAGTGGGTGGGACATCAGACGTTCAGCCTCACCCAGCTGTGCCAACAGCAAGGACAAGCTCCACTAGAGTCACCAGCAACTTCTTGCCTCCATCCTAGGTTGGTTCAATTGGCTCGCCTTTTTCAGACTGAGGTGCTTCGAACGGAATCGCGAGTTTGGATCATGTTGAATGGCTTAGGGGGACAAACTGTTGCAATCCAAAAAGCAGATGAGTCTCCAGCATCATGATGTCGCTCATTGCCGTGACAGGCCACAGCAACCAAACTTTTGGAGGACAGGGATGTTGTCCGAGGCTTCCACACCGTGTGCCGCAACAGTCAACCAGAAAGCCGATGACTCTGGTAGGATCTTTCTGAACGTCTCCTTCCCAAGGACCACCGTGAGTTTGCGTCAACTGGAAGTGAGTTCAGAAATTCCGAAGAAAGGTGCATTTTGGCATTCGCAATCCCTTCCATCGTGGTGCATGCCATGTGGGCAAGAAGCTCTGACAGGGTTTTTTTCCCACTCGCTTTGCAGGTGACAGAGCTCTCGGCTTCTGGTCGGTCAGCATTGTCGGCACAGCTCAAAAGCAAGAGTGGCTTCGGGGACCCAGATCAGTACCTGCCGTCATTGTGGACGTTCATCCCCACCTTGAGCCTGCCGCACTTAAAACGTGCAGTAATTATTGCAGTTGTGACGTAGCCAGAGCCTTTGCTAGACAATCGCTGCTGTGATTGAAGGGAATGCCACACTCCAAACCCTCAGAAACTCAGCTTTCAGGTCTGGGTGCAACTGCGAAGCAGGTGGCACTTCAGAAATCCCTGGCTGCTGGGGTGTCGGAGCCCAAAATGGCTTGCATGTGCTTGGTCACTTCGATTATATATATATATATTACATGTGAGATCCGATGAAGCCATGTTGCTTGCTCATACAGCGCTCTTGCGAGGGCCATGGGGCACATGTTTTGGGGACTGTGATGGGAAAACAGAAGTCAGCAAGTCGCACAGTCATGCTACAGTTTCCAGCTTGCGAAGCTTTGGGCCAATGAACTTGAGGATCAAGGCAACGCCTGATGAGTCGTGAGCTCAGAAGGACAAACAATGTCTTGGTTAGTAGTATCAACACTGGTCACCACCGAATCACCACCTGCCTTTGGCCCATTTTGGCCGCCTTCCCAATGGGAACTTCGCTTAGGAGGCTGTTTCTGAAAGTTTAAGGTCAATGTCTGGCACCCGTGGTGCCAAGCGACGACCAGAAGCATCTGGGCCAGATGGACGCCTCAGCTGCTCAGCTTCGTTGTGAATGTTCGTCGAAAGCGGTGCAGCGTCGATGTCATTAGATTCTTGGTGACTGGGAGAGAGTCTATTTCTTGTCCACCTGAAACACGAAACAAAGTCTACCAGTCTAAAACAGCGTGTTGCCTCCAGAAAGGTGTGTCAAGAACCAAAGTTGTGACTTGTCACTAGTCTCTTGATGTCTCTTGAATGGTTCAGGTAAAAAGCAGCGTGGCAAGCAACTTCGCAACAAGAGACAGCATCATTGAGAGCTGAATCGAAAAATGTGAAAACTATCACTGCTGCTGCCACCAAGCTTGCGCCATGCTGGAACTGGGGCGGAAGTGGGAAAGCAGCATGGGCAAAAGCACAAGCCTTTATCACAAGCATAACCTTTGTGCTTTCTCCAAGAAAGGCTAACCAGATGGGTTGCGCGCACATCCAGACCGAGAACAATAGCCTAAAGAAACAATAGAAAGAGGAATTGAAAGAGCAGTCCCAGGCGCAGAGTAACGGCACAAGCCGATAAACAGAGAGAATAAGGATGAATATGGAGGATTTATCCGATTACACTCACTGAAAGAGAGATTCCGCCTCTTTGAATTATTCCATGTATTGATTGTTTACATATCTTCAAAAAATAGAAATAGTACAAGGACATACTGACACTGAAGGACAATGCGATTCTTATTGTCCTGGTCCCGGGCAAATGTATTATTATTGTAATGTATTGTTGCTGTGGGAAAAGTAATCTATTTATTTGCATGCAACGATTGCAATCGGATTGTGCTACCCTATGTAGGAACCAAATATAGAAGTCATAAAGGATGTGGGGTCGGACCCGGACAACGGAAAAATAAATACAGCAAGTGAAGTCATAAATTTATTCTGTTATTTAAAGGAAAAACTATAGTTGTGTAGAGCTTGGGCAGGCTGGGGTGCACAAACATCATCATAACTCCCATGTCATATTTTGGCTCAAGAGCCAAAAGTGGACAGGGTTCAAGCTAGGTGTGGGATCACACCAGGCACTGTGTGAGGGACACACAAGCATCATGTCTTGGCGCCCTGGTATTGATGTGGCCATCCATACTGAGGTGCAGCTCCTCTCTGCCGCGGCCTATGCGGAGTTCCGCCAGGCAGTCCAGGACGGGTTGGACCGGGGGGCCGTGTTCAAGCGTTCATTCTATGGCAGAGTGTTGTGGTGTTCGAGCATTACCCTCCAGCGCCCCGCGTGGTTGGAAGGCCTCCTGAGTTTCCACCACTCCGTCAACAGGCCTGTTCTACTTCCATGTGCCCCCGTTGTGTGGGTTTCAGGGGTGAAGTGAATGTGTGAGAGCGCGAAAGAAAAAGTGAGCGTGGAGTAGCACTCACTGGGAGACTTATGATGTATAATTGTGTAGAGCTTGGGCTGATGTTATATACAACGTTTGCACCTAGCCTGATTAGGTTATAATGTGAAGGGGCGAAATATAGAAATCATAGAGGATGTTCGTTAATAAGATGTTTTGAAAAACCATTTGAAATATAAGTATTGTTCTCGATAGAAGGTATCGTATGTCGGATAATGTCGGATATTATTCAATTATTTTTAAATATTAATCATGCACAGGGTTTCTTAGACAATTGAAAATTTGAAATTTATATAGAATATTATGTGTATTTGACGATTTATTGATATATTGGTTTATTTATGTTTCCTTTACGTATTAATGATTAATATGTTTTTAGAAGTTGTATTTATTGTCTGAAATAGATTTATATTGTTATTAGATCTTTTTATAGTTTAATTATTTTATAAATAGTAATATAGATATTTTTTTATATGTTGAATGTATGTATTTGTTGGAAGCACTCCATGCGGCATGTCGATTGCTGCAGCTCTCTTTTGAGCAAGCGAGCTTAATGAGCTCTGAACGGTAAGACAAGACCGAAGCACATCAGCAGAAAAAGAAAAGTTGTTTGTGTTTTTGTGGGGGGAAAGGTTTTGAAGGTCAGGTGAAATCCCTGCATGAACAGGTTATGAGCCTAACGCAAGGGGATTCATCTAGCTCCCGCGCTCCGGAGATGGCCATGCTACGACGACGGCGCTCATCTAGAGCTGGAGCTGATGATGAGGAACTTCATCAAGAAGATCTTCAGTTGGTCGGCCAAGAGTTGGTGCCGGCCTTTTAGCAGCCTGTCGCCCCTGGAAGGGATGGGTTGGAAGTGGAGGTGAAAGGGTTGGAGAAGACCCTCAGTACTCCAACAAGAAGCACCACTGGACGCCTAGACACCGGAACCAGTCCGACAGAGCTGGAAGTTACGAAAGCTAGCGAAGCTAGCTGGAGTTACTCTTGCGATAGCAAGGTTTCTTTCGACCTGGTACAAATCCTAACCCCTGATTTTTCAGGTCGAACCCCCCCCCCCCTTCCTCCCCTCTCCCCACCTCCCCCCCTCTCCTCCTCTTTGTCTTCGTCCCATCTTCCCTCCTTCCCTCCTCCCTCTTCGTAAGTTCGACTCCGTCCTGTCGTCGCTCTTTGGCATGCGGTTAGCGTTGCGTATCTTGCGGCCGCACTCGCTCACTCTCACTGTCTCTCTTATCTCTCTCATCTCTTTCTCATCTCTCTCTCCTCTTTCTCTCTCTCTCTTCTCTGTCTCTCGTCTTTCCGTCTCTTTTCTCTCGCAGGAGGATCCGGGCAAAGAGCCCCATATAAAGGACTCTTCACCCCTGCCTCCAAAAAGAGCGCCGTGTTTTTTCCTACGTCGCTGCCCTCCACTTTCCCATTCTGGAGCGCTAGCTTTCACCTCCCCTTGGCCTCAAGTGTTTAGAAGTGGTGGGTCGAAGATAAGCCCAAAAGAAGCCCTCGAAGGCCCTAAGGCCAAACCTCGTGTTTTGGCGCCGCTTGCACTGCCATCCGGACAGCTACCGTTGTTCACTGAGGATCAACTCAGGTCAGCTCGAGCTCAGGCAAGGCAAGCGCCGATGCTCTATGGTACCTTGGTGCCTCCAGTTTCCTCAGGTGATGATCCCCCAGGCCATGTGAAGCGCCCGGACTTCATGAAGGAGGAGGAGAAGAGGTATGAGGTGAAAGAAGAAAGAAAAGGAAACGGCCTTTTCGATGAAGGCCATGAAGAAGAAGGCGGCTCCTACGAAGGGCACCAAAAGGGTCATGGGCCTGAAGTATTTGACCTAGATCAACAAGACCACCTACGTGAACAAGAAGAAGAAGTCATGTGGAGGTGGCAAATTTCACAGGAAGTTCGCATGTTGACGGAATTGTACCATTAACAAAAGTTAGAAAATACTCTACTTCAACAAGAGCTTCATGAAAGAAGGTTGAAGGAAGAACAAGAAGAAAAAGGGGATTAGAAGGAGAAAGAAGATCATGAAGCTGATCGGCCACCTTCTACGTTTGGGACCCCTGAAGAACATGTTCCTGAACCTCCCAGGTCAAGAGCCACTCCTGGTGACAGAGGAAGGGCGGCTTGGGGTTATGGGGCTATGAAGTATGGCAGAAAAGGAAGCCATTCAAGATCAAAAGATGAAATTCGGTCCAAAAGTCCACCGGTTGTCCACGGCACCACTGAAGGAAAAGGACCTCGAAAAGCATCCATGGCCTCGTACATGTTGGGGGGAGCTCGACTATCCCCTGAAGTTCAACAGATGGAGGTCATGTCTTTGTTGGTTGAAAGTATGAAGCCCCTCCAACGCCAGATCTCAGAAGGCCAAGACTTGCAGGGGACGGTCAAGGGAGTTGAGGTTGTTCGTCAAGTAGCAGAGCTCCCTGTTCTTGGTGTACTTCAAGGATCCACGTCACAGCTGCAGCTTGGCGACTGGTTGCTGTTGGTACAGCCTGTGGTGGCTGATCTCACCTCGACCTCCGATGTTTGGTGGGAAAAGATGATGAATGAAGTTGAAAGGTGGTATCAAGACCATCAAGCTATGGCATCCCTGGACAGGGTACGATATGAACCTATTGCCCCTGCAAACCTCAGCGTGCCAAAGTGGGCTAAGCTAGAAAGAAGGATGGCTACACTCCTTCTCAAAGCGATCCCCGAAGTTCAGAAGGATGAGTTGGTGGCCACAAAGCGGCTTTCGGTGTTCGCGATTTTGGCCTACCTTTATGTGACCTATTGCCCAGGTGGCATTAGCGAGAAGTAAATGCCCCTTCGCAACCTCGAAGAACCTGCCGAGCCGTCCAACTTGCATGATATAGTTGTTGGCCTTCGTCGGTGGCTTTGTTGGCGAGCTCGAGCACAAGAAATTGGAGTCACAGAGCCTGATCCTTCGATCTTGGTCAAGGGGCTCAATCGCCTGACGAGGCGGACCTTGGAAGGCAATGAAAGCCTTCGATTTCGGGCGTCGCTGGCTCGAAATGCTTGCAGGTTGACACCAACCCCAATGCCTTGTCGGTGAGTCAGTTTGCCACGCACCTCATCGCCGAGATCGACCAGTTTTCCTTGGCTGAGAAGCGAAATGGAGGAGGTGGGAAAAAGGAAGAAGGAAAGGTCAAGAAGCTGGAAGTTCCGCGACCAAGAAGACAAAAGGAAGTGAGGCAAAGATTAAGGAGATGGAAGTGAAGTCTCCATGCAAGTACTACCTGTCGGAGAACGGGTGCCGTCGTGGCCGTGATTGCAAATGGAGCCATGACCAAAAGGATGAACAAAGAAGGTGCTACACCTGTGATTCCACGAAGCACTTGGCGCCTTCATGCCCTACCAAAGAATCACCTACCACCAGTGCTCCAAACTCTCCGCCTAAGGTGAAGAAGGAAAAGGAGGAAGATAGAGTGGTGAAGGGTGAAGATGGTGAGAAGGGAAGTGGAGGTGAAGAAGATGATAAGATGGATGAGCTTTTGGCCGAAGCCAATCGTATGTTCAAAGTCATGAAGGATAAGGAAGCCTCGGAAGCGAAGTTGATTCGCCTCCACCAACAGTTAGATGAAATTAAGAAGAGCATCAAGACCCTGAAGCTTACAAAGGTAAGAGAGGCCAAGCTTGGGTCAATCGAAGAAGAATGGGGGCTACTGGACTCAGGGGCTACACATCCTCTGCGACCTTTGGTGGCCACCGATCGAATTGAGGCATTGAAGAAGGTCTCTGTCTCGCTTGTAGATGGCAGAACAACGCCACTGCTGATGACCGATGCCAGAACAACGCCACTGCTGATGACCGATGCCGGAATCATGGTCACTACGAATCTGGCTGTGGAGCCTATTGTGCCGCTTGGAATGTTGGCTGAAGGAGGCTGTTAGATTTCATGGAAAAAGGGGGGTATGAAAATTATGCATCCCACCAAAGGAATTTTGCCCATCAGCATCCAAGCCGGATGTCCACAAATTCCGAAGGAGCTTACCCTGGACCTCATCAAGGAGTTCGAAGACAAAAGCCTCCTGGTCAAGCAAGCACGCATGGCGGTAGAAGTTTATCCCGAAAAGGAGCTCGAATGGTTGCAATCCTTGGTGGATGGACACCCAACTTTGGCCACTTTGCCGGAACACCTGAAGAAGGCATTGGTGATGGCCCCAGGTGAATGGAGCGATTTGCCGGCCAATCGGCGCCGAAGGAAAAGAATGAAGAAAGCTGGTTCCGTCCTTCTACACCTCTATGCTGGAGAAAAGGAAGGATTCACCCTTCAAAAGCCCATGGAAGAGCATGGTTTGGGGGCCAGGACATTGGAGGTGGACATAAAAAGGGGGAGGATTATGACCTCGCTTCGCTGGGTTCTAAGGCCTACAAAGGGCTCCTCCGACTGGCCTTAGATGGTGACATTGCCGCAGTTCTTGGCGGCCCAAACTGCAGAACTCGCTCAGTTCTTCGGCACTATCCTGGAGGTCCTCGACCAGTGCGGACCTGGAGCGAACCTTGGGGCGTTCAAAGCTATAGCCCTGAAGAAAAAAAGATATGTGAAGAGGATGACATCTTGATGTGGAGGCAAATCTTCTTGTTCCTCGTGGCTGAGATGGCACGAAAGCTCAAGGACTCCACCACTCCTGATGGAGAAGAAGATGTACATCCAAAAGAAACGTTGTTTTTGCTTGAGCAACCGGCTGATCCCAAGGAATACATGCCGGAATGCGTCTCGTTCTGGGGGACAAGTGAATGGAAGTCCCTTCAACAAGCAGCACAACTCAAGCTTTACAATGTCAATCAGGGTGATTTCGAGCCCTGGAAGCAGGATGCCCCGATGAAGCCTACTGGTTTGGCTACAAATATGGATCTTCAAGTACCTGGCCAAAAGAATCCTTATGCTAAGGGACGAAGTGAAGGTCAAAAAGCGCCCTCGTCTTCGCTGTCTCGATGGGATCTTGGCCTATGTCGGGCCATTGCTGAGGCTTGCGCTGCACACTTCAAAGAAGAA